ACACCGTGAATTATGGAATACTTACTTTCACTTGCCTCATTTAAAAACATGGAGTGCCATGATTAAACACCTCTGCCATGAGCATTTGGGCTTTTCAGAAGAGCAGTCCATTGAGATTTACTGAAGTGTTTGGAGAAAGTTCTAATAACATGGTAGACTGTGGAATCTGCAACTCAGTGAACTGAGCTGATGGAAAAAACATTCAGAGGTCTGTGGGTTCCGAAGCTGGGGATGAATTTCACATCTGATGAGTCTCCTCCATTTCGATATGCCTTATTTTCTCTTTGGGGTCCCATGAGTGTCAGGGACGTAACTGGAGACAGGAGAAGAAGGCCACTTTAGACTAAAAATCCATCTCCTGTAATCTTCTTGGCCTGAGTTAGGGATCATTGCTTCAGACTGAGGCAGCAACAGGTGGCTTGGGTCCGCACTGGTCGCCAAGACCTCGGATGAGTGCGTGTGAACCTGAGTGCGTGCTCTGCAGGAGCTTGAAGTGTAGGTTATTCAGAAAAAAGATACCAGGGTTGGGCGGTACCTGGAAACCTAGTTACAGGAGATGCTGTTGAAGAACAAGATGGTGCGCCTCCAGGGTTCAAGTTCAGGAATCTGAAAGAGGAGACAATCTGCTAAATCACAGGAGATAAAATGAAGACTGAAAAGCGTGAAAGATGCAAGAAGACCACAAAAAGTAAGCATCAGCCTCTAGCTTGGTCCCCATAGTTGGATCCAATAAATATTTGTTCAGTGAATAAACAGATAAATGTAAATGGAACAGGCTTTGGTGTGGAGAGATTGAATTTTGAGTCAGATAAACTGAGCTTCGATCTGCCATATCTTAGCTGTGGATACTTGGTTGAGTTACTTTCATCTCTTTCAGTGGATTTCTATTTTTTAAAATGAGGACAATGGAACTTGCTTCCCATTACTGTTATGTGGATTCAGATTAGACAAAATAAAACACTTTTTGAACCCTGGTTAAAAGGGCTAAAGTGGAATATTATGATCAAAATTAGAGCAGATATGGCCTGTGTAAGAGCTGTGTAGTCAGGGATACTTCACAAGTATCAAATGGCTGAAACCCCCTACACCAATAGCACCATGACATAACCTATGTGTGTGATGAGGACTGTCATTCAGGAATGTGATAATACGGTATTTTTTTTTTTAAAGCAAAAAGTAAGACATGTGGAATTCACCAGGGGAGTGCTGTTTAAAAGCTGGATTTAAATTTTTAAAAATATGCTTCATTTATTCTTCTATTCATGCTTTAGCCCTAAACAAGATAAAAATCCATTTTTAGGAACTTTTCTTCAATGTAATGTCTCCTTCCTGAGATGAGGAGTAATACCTTGATTCTTCAACTGTTTCATTGGTGTTCACTGTGCTTTTATGAGACCAATCATTACTCCATTTGAATAAGTAGTTTCTGCCTCCTGAGTATGAAGTTAGAGAAATATAGTGTTAATCCTCACTTGACAGCAATTACAAGACCATTTCATTTTTCCCATCACCAGCATGTTCAAGATTAACACGGCAGCCAGGATTCTCGATGACTCTGTCTCCCAGACCCCAAGTCTTTGACCCTAAACCTCAAAGATTTTCACAGCTTCCTGATTCTCCTTGATGACTCTGGGAAGCGCTTCCTGACTGCCAAACTTCCTTCTTTTTGTTGTGTTTACTGAATGGTCTGCTCACTTCTATTACAGCACAAACAAAATAATAGTGGTTCTCTTTTACTAGTGCCTGGGATGTAGCAGACACCACCTCACAGGCTCTACATATTATAGTGAGTTGTGACATTCTTTCAATGACCTTGACCGAATATATCATTTTCATTTTACATATCTGAAGCTTCCAGGGCTTAGAAAGTGTGCTAACAATCCCTCCGTTGAAAGGCAGAGCCTGAATTTGAATGGAGGTTTGTCTGGATCCAGAGTTGCTTTCCTCCACGTTTACATGGCATTGTTTCCCTTTCCACTAGAGAAATGTGAACATTTTTCAGGGCAGATACGGAGTGTAATGAGTGTTTTGAAAGACTGGAAATGAATTCACTCAGAACTCCAGAGGCTAGAGTGTAAGATCAGGGAGCTGGCAGGACCTTAGGCTGTGGGAATGCTTGAGGGGACACAGTTCTTGTTGCAGGTGGCCCAGGCAGTCCTTGCCTTGTGCTATATCATTCCAGTCTCTGCCGTCAAGGTTATATCCCATCCTCCTGATCTTCTGTCTTTCAGAATATGTGTAGCTACATTTAGGGTCTACCCACATAATGCAGGATGAGGTGCAATGATTCTTTCTTCAAATAAGGCAGCGTTTGCAGGCCAGGGATTCAGGATAGGCACATATCACTTCGGGGACCACCATGAAGTCAACTTAAGTTGATAGCAGCTTCACCTGAATCACCTGTAAGTATCTTCAAAAGATGCATCTCTTCACTCAGGTTAAGAAGACATGGAGTCCAGGAATCTGAATTTAGCATGTTCTCCCTGAATGAATCTCATAATTTGGGAAACCCTGCCTCAATCTTAGACTAGTACATCATTAATTTAAGAAATCTCCAGAATAATCTTTCTAGAACACAAATCAATAGCACATCCCTTCTCAGGCTCACTCTTCCACTGTTCCACATCCCTCTTAACCTCGCTTTGGACGCTCCATATGCAGAGGGTGCTGTGGTCATGGAGGACCCCTGAGAGGGGCAACACCTTCTCTTATGTCAAATTCACAACATCTGCCCTGCCCTCTATTCAGAGTCATCCCTCCCCACCTTTAGGTTTGCTCACTCCTCTACGGGTGTTAGCATCTATTTCAGGTGAGTCCTCCCTGATCACAGGCAAAGTTTGGTGGGCTTGCTGTTTACTCTTACCAGCTCTGGGTTCACGCCCCATCACAGAAATTAGCATGCTGGACTGGGATTTCACAGTTATCTCTCTCTTTCTCGTGTTAGATTGTGAGCTCATTGAGGGCCAGAACCTTGTCTTACTCCCCTTTCTTCCTCCAGTACTTCGCAGAGCATGTGTGACATCAAACAGGGGTTCAGAATATGTTTACCACAAAATGAAGAGTGCATGATTGCTCCTTATATCAAATTCCCCTCTCTCTCAAAGTCTTTACCAAATTTTCTTATTATGTTCATTCCAACAAAAATTTTGTTTAAAGAGAAAAAGCCCAGAGTTTCAGATTGCATTGCATTAAAAACAAAAGTTGTGGTGTTATTCCCCCCACCCCCGCCCCAGCCCCCCATTGATGGCCTCATATCCCTTTCATTTGGAAGGGATTATTTACAAAACACATTTACACATTCATCTCACATACCAGTCAAATGAGGTAGGCAGGACGGTTATTAGCATCTTCATTTCACAGCTGAAAACATTGACCCAGTTAGATCAATTGACTTACCCAGGGTCACCCAAGCATTCAGTGGTGAAACCCACATCATCTGACTCAAAGCCAGCAGAATTTGTACTAGCCAAGTCTGGAACTTAAGATGCCTGGCAAAAAGTATCCTAGGAAAATGTTACTGGAATCGGGCTGTTCTGCGGTGGGTATAGAATATGCAGTAGCGGAGATCCTTCTGGATGATGCAAAGGGAAGGACTGATGGTGGGACTGGGAGCAAAGTCTTCCTGACCCAGCTACCCAGGGGGCAAAGCAAAGTGCTTCTGTCAAGGTGCAGTGTCCCCTCTGCTGGGTACAGCTCTAGTCAGACCTCAAGTTAACTCTGGCTAAAGATAAACGTCTTTAAATCTCAAAATGTAAGACTGGAGTTAAAGAAAGAAGGGACAAGGGCATAGGGCTGGTCTGTCCTGAGGTCAGTTTCCCCTCTAGCTAGATGTGGACAAAGCAGGAGGAACCACGCCCATGTGTCTGACCTTTGCAGGCACAGTGACCCTCCCACTCACAGATATGACTCAATGCGTGACCAATTAGATTAGTGCTACTCCTTGGGGGAAGCGACAGGGAGGGGGGTTTGCAGAGCTTCCTCAAGTCACATTGGGTCCCAGTGACCAGTCTGGTGGTTCCTTTAGTTCGAGAAGTCAGGAAGATTCGGGTAACACGGCAGGTTCTCCTTCACAACTGTGCATTCGGAAATGATGGAACAGGTCAGGAGACTGGGAAGCAGGGGTTGGATTACATGCTCCTTAGGGCCTCAAAACAAGCAGTATCTCAGTTTGTAGACCCATAGTCTGGAAAAACAGGCCATGCTCAGCCAGGTGATGCTGAAGATGACCCATTGTTAACGGAATGATGATATTGGAACTTTCACTTATGTTGATCTTGTACCCCCTCCTTTTTGACATTTTTAGTCTTTTTTTGTGTCAGTTCAATAATGAACAGGACATTTTGAGTGCAGTGGTTGGGAGTATATAATTTGTAAACAAATATATGTATTAAAGAGGAAAAATAAGATCATTTATATATTTCTAGCCTAGAGGTACAAATCCAGTCAATGGAGTATTCTAAACCAGGCTGAAATACTCTAATATAGTGACTCTCAAACATCTTTCTATGAAAATGCTTTAATTTGGCTTTGTGAGAATGAATGTTCAAAATACAAAATTGCAGGTGCCACTTCTGAAAAGTCCTTAAGTTCAGAGTGGAGTCCAGCAATCTTTATTTCCTGCCATCGCCCTGGATGGTTCCAGTGAACAGCCAGGCCTGCTTCTTTCTGGGTGTTAGTTCTCCTGCTGCACAACAGCGAAATTGGCACAAAAGAGTGTAAAGCCACTTCTCTCCTTGGCAGTTGGTTTGTGATTCTTTCAATTTATTTGGTATGGAGGAAAGGGCATGGCAGCCAGAATTGGAAAGCCTGATGCTAATTTCTGCATTTTCATTAATTCACCTTCTGACATCGCCTGCGGGCATCTCAGTTTCCTTATCTATAAAATAGAAAGAGTAGTTAACATTTACTCAGTGCTTACTAAAGCTGGGCATTCTAACCATTAACTCATCTAATACATAAACTTTATGAGGGTACTTATGTTTATTATCACTGTTTTGTAGATGAGGACATTGGGGCAGAAAAGATGAAGTAGTTCACCTAAGGACACACAGCAGGTAAGTGTTATGACCAGATTATAAACCCTGTCAATGATCCCTAGAGCCTGCACTCTTAAAACACAAGGTATTAGCAACATGTAATAAAAGAGCCTTTAGGAAAATGCCACACCAAGGGCTAGAATCCAATGGTTCAAGAATTCGTGTTTCCAAACTAAAGGGAAGCAGGGAAGTACTATAGTCCTTTGAGATTTGCTGAGTCAGATTCATCTAGTGGCCTGAGTGCAGTGCTGTGGGTAGGATTCAGAGCTGGACATCAGGGATCTGGGACCGGGCCCCGCCCTGTCAAGGAGCTGATCGCTCCCTGCATCAGATTCCCCATCTGCATGACATGCTAAGGTGCCTTGTGGCACTAAGGATTTATTCTGTGTCTGTTGCCTGCAGGGAGAATGTTGAAAAATGTGTGTATTTTTGATGGAAACAGTGACAATGCCAGTCACAGCTGAGGGTGCTTTGCTGGAAGGATCTGAAATGACTGCATAAACCCACAACGGAGGCCAAGACAGCCCACGTCTGAAGCCTTGCCCATTCTGATTCTTTGCATCGTCAGCTCCCAACACTGTCAGTTTCCATGGAGCCATGGGGACGAGAGGACTTGAGGCAAGTTCAGCTAGCGGAGCTCTGGGTCTGTCGGGAGATGGAAGGAGCCTGACAGGTGTCAGCCAGGTAGCCCCAGAGCCTGCAGTCCTGGGTGCAGCTCCCAGTGGCTTGACAGTGATCTTGCTTTGAAGTCCTCCCTCTATTTCACAAAACCCTCCCCACATATTGTTTTGAAAATGCCAAAGGGAACTTGAAACCTGTATGAGGGGTGAGGGAGAATTACAAAAGTAATATCGTGACTTTGAAGACAGGGATGCTCTGAACAGGACCTTTAATTTGCTCAGCAAGCTTGGACAGGTTCTTTTTTCTATTCTGGACTCATCACTCTTATGACTTAATGTGTGCTAAGTTGCTTCAGTCGTGTCCGACTCTTTGTGACCCCATGGACTGTAGCCCACCAGGCTCCTCTGTTCATGGGATTCTCCAGGCAAGAATACTGGAGTGGGCTGCCATGTCTTTCTCCAGGTATGAGTTAGTAGCATCTTTTAAATAAATGAAGAAACAACCAACCACTTCCCCTCTGTCATCTCACATACCTGTCAGGCAGGTGTTAGGATGCATGTTACTAAGGACCAAAAGAATCTCCTAGAGGTTAATGACTTAGCCCAGGTCACCCAGCGTGTAGGCAGAGAGCTGGAGCCAAGTCCAGCTCTCCCCGGATTGTCTCTGGGGCCTCGTCAACCGCCTTCTGGCTGCCTCCCTGGAGCTGGATAACTCCATTAGGCTGTAACCGTGCATTAAGCCCATCCTCCTTCTCAGGGTTTGAGGGGGCTGATGTGTCACTTGACACAAAGAGCTCTTTCATCAGCTGCCCCCACTGAGGACCACCCAGGACAAAGTCAGCTTTAGCCACAGCTGGACAAATTTAGGTCAGATCTGCGGAAGAATTTCCTGGCACGGCAGTTAGACAATGGGACACGTTCCTGAGCAAAGTTGTAATTTTCATCTTCGGAGGATGAGAAAATCAGAGCCAGTTTCCTGTGTCAAAGAAGCTGAGGCTTTAACTTTTCAGCCTCTTCAGGTCTCTATACCATGTGAATTCTTGAAACTCAGGAGACAAAAATCTTGCTGCAAGAAGAAAAGAGATCTCCTAGAGCAGCAAACAGAGGTGGTCAATCTTCGAGGATTTATCTGACCCTCATAGAGTATCCTACCTGATCGAGGCATCCGGGTTAGAGCAACAAATGAGATGGAGTCTTCCTTCAGATACAGATTTGATTCTCGTGATGGGAGACAAACCCCCAAGTGAATAAGGTGATATCGCATATGGATGAGACCAGGAAATTGAAGCAGGAGAAGGGGATGACAGAAGACAAGATGGTTGGATGGCATCACCAACTCAATGAACATGAGTTTGAGCAAGCTCCAGGAGATGGTGAAGGATGGGGAAGTGTGGTGTGCTGCAGTCCATGGGGTCGCAAAGAGTTGGACACGGCTGAGTGACTGAACAACAACTTGGAAGGAGAAACTTGGCGTTGCCTTAGCAGATTGGTCCAGGTCCACATGCTCCACTTCTGAGGAAGTATCTTTGGAATTGCGTCCTGCAGGATAAGAAGCAGCAACCAGGTGGATGTACAGAGAAAGAACATTCTCAGCAGAAGGAGCAATAAAAATTCAGAAGTTCGAAGCCAAGCAGACCTGGTACAATGTATTCCACTTACTAGCTGACTGCCTCGAGAGCTTGAATTTCTTCATCTGTAAAATGAGGACAGTATCAGCACATATCCATTGGTTTGCTGAGAAGATTAAAAGAGGGAAAAAATAAAAGATGTTGAAAAATAAAATAAGACATAGCCCCCACCCTTCGGGAGCTCACAGTATAGATAATGAGGAGATGTGAGCAGCTCAATTTAGAAAAAACATTTATGAAATATATGATCAATAGTAACCAACATCTGGAGAAGGAAATGGCAACCAGTATTCTCCAGTATTCTTGCCTGGAGAATTCCATGGACAGAGGAGCCTGGTGGACTACAGAGTCCTCTGGGTTGCAGAGTCAGACACGACTGAGAGACTAACGCACACACACAATAATCAACATCATCAACATCATCAAAGTCCAAAGTGCTGGTCCCTTCAAACATACAGACCTACTATTGTTATAATCTACTGTCCAAATCATAAGCCCTTAAGGAGAGTGAACCAGTGTCTGCTGGAAAAGCCTTCTTCCCTCTGGGACCAGTGTGTATATATATATATATATGTATATTAATAGTATACCCCAGTGTCCCCTCCCCTGGAGAAGCAATTGGCAACCCACTCCAGTATTCTTGCCTGGAGAATTCCAAGGACAGAGGAGCCTGGCAGGCTACAGTCCATGGGGTCACTAAGAGTTGGACATGACTAAGCGACTATCACTCACTCACTCCAGTGTCCCCTCCACCCAGGAAACACCATGACAGTTTTTAAGATATCTATCAGCAAGAGTAAACTAAGAGAAGAAAAGAGTTATTAACCACAAGCTCTGATGTTTTCTGTCATAAATAATAAACACGAACATCTTTGTCTGGGGGACTAGGTGCCTATGGATGATAGCAACTATCTAGTGTTTCATTTTAAAGAATGCTTCTCACCTTTTCAGACAATTAAAGGCTACAGTTCCAGCTGACTGTAGCTTTCTTCTGGGGGCTCCATTTTTTTCACTACTCAAAGCAGTGCTTATTTCACCTTTGGATATAGATGATACAGTTTCATTTGATGGCAGTGTCCAATGACTTTATAAGAGCTTGCTTGCTGTCATTGCCAGGAGGGTTATATACCAGGGAGGACTGTGAAATCAATTGAAGAATGATCTCCTTGGGAAAGTGCTGCTGTAGAAGGCGGTGAAATTGACTGTTCTGTAATAAGGAGCAGAGCTCAGGCAGCATTTGGATGGAGACCTTTTAGCCATAACCTGCTGATACATCTCTGAAATTGGCACTGGTGCCTTGTCCTGCTCGTGTTGTGTGTATTTTGTGAAGGCGTGGGACTGCTTCCACGGTGGGCCGCATGCTGTGCTCCAACTGCACATCACCCGTGACCTTGACAGCAGCCCTTACAGGGATGCTTTGAATCATTCCTTTGTTGTTATTTACTTGCTAAGTCATGTCTGACTCTTTGTGACCCCATGAACTGTAGCCCACAAGGCTCCTCTGTCCATGGGATTTCCCAGGCAAGAATCCTGGAATGGGTTGCTGTTTCCTTCTCCAGGGGCTCTTCCTGACCCAGGGATCGAACCCGTGTCTCCTGCATTGCAGGGGGATTCTTTACTGCTGAGCCACCAGGGAAGCATCCTCTGGCTCATTCCTGCTGAGCAGTAAATAAATGGAGTCAGAGAGGCTAACTGGACCATAATCACGGGGCTGGTAAGGGGTGGAAGGAATTCCTAGCCTGTGTTCTTTGCTCCCCCTGATGCCACATATCCCAAAGTGTTTTGAATAAAGTGTAAGGTTCAATTTAAATGCACATAAAGATGGTGATCATTTAATAGTACTATGATTGCCCTGATATTTGGTCATTACAAAGATAACTCAATCCTTTTCTGAGAATGGAAATCCTTTTTGACATGCTTAACCGTAATTGCCTCTTTACAGGAAAGTTTTCTGTGCGTTTATACATATCATACACTCTGCCTGACATGACCTTTTCCTTCTACCCCTGCCTTCTGGTAAATCCCTATATCCTTTTAAAAAATTTCCAGGTATAGGTAATCATTCCAACCTCTGCTCCGAGCCTGAGCCTCCCACGACCCTGAATTGTGTAAATCTCCCTCACCATCTACTTTGAATTTCAGTTCCATCTCAACAGCCAGTCTGTTTGGGGGGCAGGACTGGGAATGGTTCATCTTTGTCTCTACAATTGCCGAGCGCAAGGTCTGCACACAGAAGGCACTCAGCGCATGCGTTACTGCTTGTCCTTCAGTGCCTGCTGAAGCAGAAAGGGATGGCAGAGAGAGAGAGGTACTGCCATGTGCATGCCCCCTTCACCAGTGTGGATTCAGATAACTTGTTGTTTAGTCACTAAGTCGTGTCTGACTCTTTGTGACCTCACGGATTGCAGCAAACCAGGCTTCCCTGTCCTTCACCATCTCCCGGAGTTTGCTCAGATTCATGTCCATTGAGTTGGTGATGCCATCCAAACATCTCATCCTCAGTTACCCACTTCTCCTGCCCCCAGTCTTTTTCTGCATCGGGGTCTTTTCCAATGAGTTCTTTGCATCAGGTGGCCCGAAGTATTAGAACTTCAGCTTCAGCGTCATTCCATTTCCGCATTCTTCCTCTTTTCCAGAAATACTTTCCTGTTGTAAATACCTGGAGAATGTATAGACATTAACTGTTAAACTATAAAGCATTGTCCCCAGCTTGGTACGTAGTTTACAGAGTTTACTGTGTGAAGACATGCCACAGAGCACTTGATCCCAGAAAATCACTTGTTGTGGGTTCTGTGTTTGAGTACTTGCCAGTTAATTGGCGATTGGCTCAAAGGAAGAGAAGATTGGAGAATGGTGAGAATTTGTCATCATGGACTTGGGACGGAGAAACAGAGACTAGGAGGGGCCGGGGAGGCCAATTCACAGGAGCAGGAAGCTGAGGACAGGCTTCTGCAAGACCAGGAGATTCAGAAGGGCACCTGTGTATGGCCAGGTGCTTTATTCCATCTTTATTTTCTTGACAATAATAGGCCATTTGGCTTTTGTGATTTACATATGTATTCTTTTTTCTTTTAACAAGGAAAATACAATGTCAGTCTGAGACTGTCATCCAAACTTTAAGAAAGAAGTGACTTCCAATTGTTCTGGATTTTGTTTGGGAGGCCCTGAGATGTGGCATGACTTTGCGGATTGTTGTGATGTTGGGTTTATCTCTACTCAGCTGCCATCAGGACAGGAAGCGGGAGGTCCCCTGAGGGCTCTGCCGGAGCTTTAGATATAATCTCATCAGTGCTAGTGTTGAAAGGTCCCCTTAGAGATTAACTTCATTTCATAGGTGAGGGAGGCTTCCCAGGTGGTGCAGTGATAAAGAATCTGCCTGCAATGCAGGCGACGTGGGTTCAATCCCT